CCATCAAAGCGCACGCAGGGCTCAAAACATCGAGCTCTGGCAGCATCGGGCTCCTCACTGACCAGCAGCAGCAGCAGACCACCAGCTGACGCAGCAGTGAGTCCATACACTTAAAAAAAAAAATAAAAAAAAATTATACAATTCCAAATAACCTAAGTCATAGATTATAGAACTTTTGTATTCATTTATTACCACCTAAAATGTCATCCCAATCATCCACAACCGCCTCAACGTCCCGCAGTCCCGCGTCCCCAAACTCACAGGGGACAATGTGATAGAGAGGATCAGGTTAGCCATGGACCTCAAAACAAGCGGAGCCCGAGTGGATACGGTCCGAAAAGCGCGGAACCAAAAGGTGGTTCTAAGATGCGCCAGTAAGACGGACCTCAATCTGGTCAAGGACCAGTTCAAATCCAACAGCGGACTCAAGGTCCAAGAGCCGAAACCACAGAACCCAATGGTCTGCATAAAAGGCGTACTGTCCAGCTACACAGGACACAACAAGTCCATATGCAGGGCAGATAAGGAAGCCTGCAGCTATTGCAGCGGCGAGCACAATGGAAGGGACTGCCCCGATCGGGCAGGCGGAAAACAGCCCGTCTGTTTGAACTGCAAAGCAGCCAAAAGAACTGGTTGCGACGTGGCACACACCGCCTTCAGTGAGGACTGCCACGAGCGCCAAAAATGGGATGGCATAGCCAGGTCGCGCGTTTCCTATTGCTAAGGGCGACAACACACCAGTAGGTCAAACAGTCACCCTCCAACACTCGACAAGACCGACGAGATTGCATTTTATCCAAGTAAATCTCCAACGCTCCAAGCTGGCCACAGAAGAATTATTGATGACGGCGCAGGCAAAGGGGGTTTCAGTAGCACTTGTTCAAGAGCCCTATGTAGGAAGAACAGGTGTGATGAAACAAAGCCCCGGCACACAAGTCATTCAGTGCAGCCTGAACCGCCAAAAACCAGTTAAGGCGGCAATCGTCGTTTTCGGGAGCAACATGCAGGTCATCCACGACCCACAGCTTGTGACCGAGAACGTCGCCACCGTCCTGCTAAAGGTGGGCCAGCTTAGTCTCGGAGTGATATCGGTCTACTTCGAGGGTGGCCAGGAAATCGAACCATACCTACTCGAAGCACACAACACCATCACACAACTACACACACACAACATCTTGGTGGGAGGAGACATCAATGCCTGGAGCCAATGGTGGGGAAGTGCTTCCGAAAACCACCGGGGGGCGGCGTACAATTCCTTCCTCAACGAGCGAGATCTCCAGATCTTGAACACCGGACAAACGCCAACATTCGAGACATACAGAGGTGACAGGTGGTGCACTAGCATAGTCGACGTGACGGTTTGCAGCTTACCATTGCTGGGCAAAATCGAAGACTGGCGAGTGCAAAGAAACCTAACAACGTCGGACCACAACGCAATTAGCTTCTCTTTGCGACTCGAAAAGGCCCTGGAACCTCTAAGGCCGATTTCGACGCGAATATACAACACCAAGAAGGCGAAGTGGTCCGACTTCCGCTCACACCTCAAAACCAACCTGGCGGAAGACAATTTAACCGAAGCCAATGTCTCGGGTGTCTCAAGTCCGGAAGATCTGGAAATTATCATCGACAAATATATAAGACACATCCACCGCTCGTGTGAGGAGGCAATTCCAAAACTGGGGTCACCCAGGCACAACGCGAAGCCCCCGTGGTGGACCCCTTCTTTGGATCGTCTCAAAAGGGAGGCGATGACTAGGAAGAGGAGGATTCGGAACGCGGCCGCCACCCGCAGACACTTCACCATACAGGAGTACGTCGAGGCAAAAAACGCCTACACTGATGCAGCCGCAGAAGCAGCAACGACCAGCTGGAAGGACTTCTGCACGAAGCAGGACCGAGAGAGCATGTGGGACGGCATCTACAGAGTTCTAAGGAGAACAGCCAGGAGACAGGAAGACATGTTGCTAAGGAACCCTGCAGGAGAGACGCTCAGCCCCGAGCAGTCTGCAGATCTCCTGGCAAAAACCTTCTATCCGGACGACTCAACGGATGCCGAGCAGCCATACCACACAGCCCTAAGGAGGCTTGCGGAGCAGAGGTGCCCTCAAGGACTGTCGGCGGATGATCCGCCATTTACTATCGCGGAATTGGAGATGGTTTTACAAAACCAAAATCCAAAGAAAGCGCCCGGTCCCGATGGGTTAACAGCAGACATCTGCATGGCGGCCATAAACTGCGACAGGGAACTGTTCTTAGCGTTGGCCAACAAGTGCTTATCGCTGTCACATTTCCCCAAACAGTGGAAAGTCGCGCATGTGTGCATACTCCGTAAGCCAAATAAAGAAGACTATACGAACCCAAAGTCATACAGACCAATCGGTCTTCTCTCGGTCCTCGGAAAGATAGTAGAAAAACTCCTAGTCGGCCGACTCCAATGGCACTTCCTTCCAAGACTAAACAAAAACCAATACGGCTTCATGCCGCAGCGCGGTACCGAAGACGCCCTCTATGCCCTAATGGGCCACATACGGGGCGAGATAAAAGCAAAAAAAATAGTGCTGCTGATATCATTGGACATAGAGGGGGCCTTCGACAACGCATGGTGGCCTTCACTTAAGGCTCAGATGGTAGCCAAAAAATGCCCCAAGAACCTCTACACCCTTGTCGCCTCATACCTGGAAGACCAGAACGTCAAGGTCAACTATGCCAGAGCGACAAGTGAGAAGGGTACCACAAAGGGATGCGTTCAGGGTTCTATTGCTGGACCGACATTCTGGAACATCATCCTGGACCCACTCCTACATAAAATGGCAAGTTTGGGAGTATACTGTCAAGCATTCGCGGATGACGTCGTCCTCGTTTTCTCGGACTTTTCAACTGGACCCCTACAGCAATCGGCAAACGGTGTGCTAGACACGGTGTCAAAATGGGGCTTCCAAAACAAGCTACGCTTCGCCGCGCACAAGACCAACGCGATGGTGTTAACAAGGAAGCTCAAATATGACGACCCCGTACTTCACATGTCTGGCACGCGCCTGGACCTAGTCCAAGAGCTGAAGCTGTTAGGCCTCACAATAGACGCCAAACTCACGTTCAACGCGCACGTATCTGCAACCTGCAAGAAAGCTGCAGATATCTACAAGCAGCTAGCGTGCGCGGCGAGGGTGACCTGGAGTCTGAACCGAGAAATAGTGAGGACGATATACGTGTCGGTGATAGAGCCTATCGTGCTGTATGCGGCGAGCGCGTGGGAGCCTGCAGCGGAGAAACTGATGACGAGAAATCAGTTTGACTCGCTCCAGAGAGTGAGAGTGTCTCTGACATCGGCACTCATCCTGTCTGGCTTACTCCCCTTCGACCTCCGAGTAATTGAGGCCGCAACCCTTTTTAAGATCAAGAAGGGTCATTCCCAAGAGTTTATCCCGCCGGGATGCGAGCTGGAGCGCAACGTGCACCACTCGAAGAACCCTCACCCGGCGCTACTCACAATTACTGTGAAGTGTTATAATTATAGTGAGTACGGTCCTTTATAGTATTAAGTGTGTTAACTCCCTTATGTAGTGCTGAGTTGCATTATACCGTATATCTTATAGTAATATGTCTTTTAGTCATTAAATAGTTCTCAAGTAATGTGGTTGTCTCCTTTAAGCGCCTCCTTTAGGAACCCCAACATTTCACTGAGTATGCACGTCTATAGGACTTGACTCCCGAAACCCAGACGGCCCACCTTATAACCGGTCCCCAAATATACACTCACGGCAGCAAAATAGAGGGGAAAGTAGGAGCTGCCCTAACATGGTAGGAAAATGGGCAACAGTCAATGTTAGTCAACAATTCAGTACCTTCGGCCTGGAGCCTGACAACACTGTCTTCCAATCGGAAAACGCTCTCTTCAGAGCCGTAAAGTTACAATTGTCAAAATCAGGCGTTAATGTTAGAGTTTGAACAGCAAGCCACAAATCACTATCCATAAAGCAGGCGTCAGCTCTAACAACCTCATCAGTATAAGCAGCTAATACCTATACTCGCCCAGGGTGAGGCAAGAGGGAGTGTCAGACTCTTTCTGGCTAAAAATACCCTGTTCCTTCTCCTTCCTTTTATTGCGCTTACCCCGCAAGTGACTTGATGACTTGAAGTATTTATTTATTTATTTATTTATTTGAGACTTCATGCACAAAACACTGTACATAGGCGGACTTAATGCAATGAGCATTCTCTACCAGTCTACCTTTGGGTGATGCAGAGATAATCTGGTGGCAGGTGCAAGAAGCAAGCAAATTGAATTAAATATACCAAACATATATATAAAATTTTATATGATACACTTTACATACATACATAATATATACATACATATACATATACATAATTATAATACATATTTATAAGGCAGTAAACATATATATATATATACATATATATACGTATATGCAGTCATAGCCCCGATGATTCCCCCAACCTCTTCAAAAGAAGCTCCCGAACTCTCTGCTTGAAAGACAGCCGACTAGTCAGGATCCTGATATCGGGGGGTAGCGCATTCCACAGAAGAATAGCCTGAACGAAGAATGAGGAATGGAGAAATTTTGAGTGATGAGTTGGACAGTTGAGGAGACGATTGTTAGAAGAGCGAAGATATTTATTGTGGTTTGCGCAGGTGTATTGGAAGTAAGAGGACATATAGCTAGGTGGGCAAGGCGAGTTAAGAAAGGAAAATAAAGTGGTTAACGCCCTTTGCTCTATTAAGTATCACTTAAGTTATATTCCAGAGAGGAGAGTATTAAGGAACAAAAAATAATAACAACAGGCCAGTATCGACAACATTTTTATTATTTACATACAACAGTACAACAGACAGACAATATACACGCATAATTATATATTTATATACTAGATAGTTTCAACTATAGTCGAATAGAAAGCTAATGTCAGATTTGACGTGTGACATGTGTTATATTTGACACATGTCAAATCTAACATAATGTCAATGTCAAATTGCAATGACGTTTCTATGCGAGTATGGTTGAGTATGGTTGAGTGCGTCGTGCGATGTGTTGCGTGCGTCACTAGCTGGGTGTGGGCGGGCGGTAGTTCTCCGTGTTGATGTCGTTGAGGCCGAGCTCCTCGTTCTGCTCGAAGGTACGCTCGTAGCGCGTGATCTTCAGACCTGTGAGGCAAGCGAGCACATATTAATATTTACTAGTCCAACTATCTCGCTAACAACGAAAGCTTTGTAATATTTTATTTGATCATATACATAAATCTGAGCCAAGGCCTCTTCTCATACGGAGAAGGTTTGAGCATTAATCACCAAGCTAGCTCAAGTCGGATTGGTGATTTCAAACTTAAAATTAGCAATTATAAGTTCAGGTTTCCTCACCGTATGTCAGTGGTGTCTAAATAATCATAGAAAGTACATATGACACGGAAAAAGTCACATTGGTACTTAACCAGCTTTCGAAACCCCATAATGAGAAGCAGGCGTCTTAACTCCCAGGCTGCCACGTCATTATGGAAGACTATCCTAATACAATAACAGAATTGTCAAAAGCAGATAGTTGTCTCACCGTCGTCGGGTACGTTGGGGTCGTCGGCCAGGCTCTGCACGTATGAGTTGCCGGCGGGGTCGTCGAGCACGATGGTGACGGGTCGCTCGGCCCGCAAGACCTGGTCCAGCGTGGCCAGGAAGTCTTGCAGCGCGGGCTGCGCGAGGCCGGGCGCGTCGCCCAGCGCGCCGGGGCTGTCCTCGAGCTGGCCGCGCATGGCGCTGAGGATGCCCTCGGCCGTCGTGAAGCGCCCCCCCAGCGCGCCCCCCCCTACGCTCAGCTCCAGCTCCGGGATCTCCATGCTGCATGTCTCAGACTGCGGGCAGGCGGGGTAGGTACTACAGACTCAGGACTCGATACATCACAGCATGCAACAATATAAGTATAAAGGTCCGCTCACCTTGAGTATGTCCCGGGAGAAGTCCTCCTTGGTGGCGACGCGGACCTCGAACCGCACTCCCTTTTCCTCGATACCGCCGCCTGACTTTACCTGCATACAATACTTGGTCGTGAGTTACAGTGACTGAATGACTGAATGAGCGAAGATGTACGTGACAATAAATTAGTGTGTGCATGAGTGAGTGAACGAATGATGTGTGAGTTAGTGAACTAATTGTGTGGACGATTAAGTTAGTGAATGAACGAATAATTGGGTTGGTGAGTGAGTGTAACAATTAGTGAACGAATGAGTGCGAAAGTGAGCTAGTAAACGACTGAGACATTGTTTTAGTAGGTTACTGGTTGAATAAGTAATAAGAACGAATGAAATACTGTATAATCTGATAAGTGAACGAGAAAGTGACCTTACTATCGATATTGTATGAGCATTTGTATGAACGAATGATTGTAGGTATATGAGTGAATAATCGAATGAGGACGTGTTTAAACGAGTGAGTGTATTAGTGAGTGGTCTGACCTCGTTGGTGCGATGTCCGCAGTAGTCGCACGTAGTGCTCATGATGACTACTTCCTTGAAGTGCGGGATGTCTGCGACAATAACAATATACATTATATACTGACACACTATTACTGCAGGCATACGGGAACTGTAGTAGTACTCGAGTGATGGCGCCACTGTAGCGTAAGGTCATGTATGTCTAATCACTGCCACAAACATTGAATCAGAGGCCCGATCCCTCCCCTCCCCTAATTCCTAAATCTCCAAAGAGGTTGAAAACTCATTCGTAACTCATGCATTGTTAAAGCCTGCATGCCAAATTTCAAGCGACTAACTTAAACAGTTTAGCTTTTTCATACAAAAGGATTTTCTTGCTAATCCTCGTTCCGGTGGGAATTTAGGGAATTCCTTTCTTAGTGCACTCTCTACGGTACCTAAGCTAGGTCCCCTCCAAATGTCAAGTGCCTACGTTTAACCGTTTAGACTGTGCGTTGATTTGTCAGTCATTCAGTTTCTCCTATTATATCTCACTAATATTATAAATGCGAATGCTTCGATATTTGGATGTTTGTTACACAATCACGCCAAAATAACTGAACGGATCTGGATGAAATTTGGCACAGGCATAGGATACACTCTGGAATAGAACAACATAACATGCGGGCGAAACCGCCGGCGACCGCAAGCACCCGCTGCTCGGTTCCATTTGATCGTAGCGTGACGTTTTATAGCCTATAGCACTCAGGAACATTGTAGATATCTATCAGTGAAAGAATTTTGGCAATCCGACCAGCGGTTCCAAAGATTACCCCCTACATACAAACTTACAAATTTGACCTCTTTATAATATTAGTATAGAGACAGTATATACGTACTGGTGACCTTCATCAACGTGTAGCAGGGCGCGTCACAGTTGGGGCAGTTGGTGGGGAAGCTGAGCACCTCGTCGGCCGCGAGCCGCTCGTACGGCATCGCGTCCGCGCCCAGCGGGGACAACAGGTGCTCCTCCGACGTTCGACCCGCGCCCTCCGCGCCCTCTGCGCCCTCCGACAGCGACAACCCCTCAATGCGGGGACACTCAGTATCCTCCGCCTTCTGCAGACCAAACACCAAATATTAAACTTTACCCCACACTTGTATTTTCTTCTTTGTCGTGGGTGCATTTATAAGTATACAATTTGACATACACAGACCCGGAATAGCAATTAGTGGATCACAATAAAGAGTTGTTCCGTACGAGAATCGAATCTGAGACACGGTGCACGACAGCCAATTGCCCAGACACACATTAATGTTGTACACTGTGGTTGTACATTAAAAAAATATTGAATAAATAAGTGTGGGAAAGCCATGCTTCAGAATTGTTGTTTCGTCTCGACCATAGTCATACCACGGCCTCAGAAAACCGGCGTGTATCGGAGGCCCAATCCTTTCCCTCTCCCAATCTCTCCTCAATTCCAAAATCATCAAGTCCTTAATCCCCAAAAGGTCAACAACGCACTCGTAACTCCTCCGTTGTTTCGGGAGTCAATAAAGGATTGCTTACCATCAGGAAATCCATCTAGTTTAACAGTTCGGCAAACGAGCAGACGGATTACCTGATGGTAGGCAATCAGCGCCGCCCATGGACACCCGCAACGGAGGAGTTACGAGTGCGTTGCCGACCTTTTAAGGATTAGGGATTTGAAGACTCAGGGGTTGAGGAGGGATTGGGGGAGGGGAAGGATTGAGCCTCCGGCAACCTCACTCACACGGCGAAACACAACGCTGTGGTTGTTTCAAGCTGGTTTTCTGTGAGGCCGTGGTAACAGTCCGGTCGAGCCGACCCTTTCGTGCCGAAGCATGGCTCTCCCACATTTAAAGGGTTAAGGGCAGTAGAGCTCACGTTACCTCTGTGTTGGTGTAGATGCCGAGCTGATGGTCCTGGTCGTGCGTCCGCTTGAAGTGAGTGAGGGAGGCGCGCGGGTCGCGGCGCGGGGCGCACGGGTTCTCCAGGAAACAGTTGCCTGGACCATACAATACGATACTCATTACGCACTGCGATCATAGATGGCGTTAATAGCGTGTAGTCCGAACAATGACAAAAAACAGATTGACGAGAGGATACAAATACAAGAAAATTAACTGCAGTCGTGGTGGCCCGGAGGTTGAGGAGCCCGCTTCTCATGCATGTGGGTTCGAAACCTGGCAAGTACCAATGTGACTTTTTCCGAGTTATATGTACTTTCTATGATTATTTAGACACCACTGACATACGGTGAAGGTAAACATCGTGAGGAAACCTCGACTTGTAATTTCTAATTATAAGTTTGAAATTGCCAACCCGCATTGACCAAGCGTGGTGGATAATGCTCTAACCTTCTCCGTGTAAGAAGAAGCCTTTGCTCAGCAGTGGACACTTATAGGCTGATGATGATGATGATGATAAACTGCACATATGCCTAACGTGCGGTCGTTCGCATCATTAACCAGTTGAGTATAATTGCTTTATAAAAACAGTAGGCGCTCCGACAACAATATACATTACACATATCGAATATAGATGGCGTTAAACTCAAAAGACAACAAACTCCATGGTTACATTTTATTTAAACATTGCCCCACACTTGATGAGCCGTGGGTGCGGTTACAAACATACAATTTCACACACATATCAAACCCAGACCCGGATCAACAATCTGTGGATCACACAAAGAGTTGTTCCGTGCGGGAATCGAGCCCGCGACACGTTGCGCTGCAACCTGTCCCAGCCCAGCCACCGCACTAACAGCAGTAAACTTTAAATCAGTTAATCCTCCAATTTGTTACTGTGGTGTTGCGGTCGTTTCAGTTGGCGTAGATTGCTTACCATCAGGTAATTGGTCTGCTTTTGTGCCGTCCTGTACTGTAACCACCATCCATCATCAGCCTATAAGTGTCCACTGGACAAAGACTGAACAAAGGCCTCCTCTCACACAGAGAAGGTTTGAGCTTTAATCACCGCACTTGCTCAATGCCGATTTGCGATTTCAAACTAATAATTAGGGTAGCTCGCCGCCCGACTAGAACCAGACCCTAGCGTACGGCGCGTAGCGTTCCGCGCGCGCCTCAAAGAGCCAATAGACCACTACAGACGGGGCCCTAAGGGCTGATGTTCAGCCGGGGTGGAGGGGTAAGCGCAATGAGGCACCGCGGCTTCGGCCCAGAGCAGAAGAAGGAACGGGGGGGCTTAGTCAGTAAGAGTCTGACACTCTCTCTCGCCTTACACTGGGCGGGCGAAGTCATTTGACGAGAGATTGGGGTTTAACTTAGAATCGTTTTTAAAGAAACTTACATACAAGTAATAACTATTAAACACCTTAATCAATTTAAATTAGGATTATTGATTTAAGGGGTGGGGTATTTCTTTTAAATGGCACAAGCCTGCTACTATCCCCCAAAACCGCTGCAACCATGAAAACACCGAGTCACTGAAGTCCGAATGCCTCTCAGGGACATGAATGAGTGTCTTGGATACCGCAACGAAATAAATCACAAAATATTATTTGAGGAGGAAAATCGGATGGGGGATGGTTACAATAGTGAAGTTACCGCTGATATCCTCCAGCTCGAGGGTCCAGGGCTCGGCGTCGGGCTGGCGGAGTCGGTCGAGGCGCGCGACGTACTCGTCGATGGCGCGCGCGTCCTCCGGGTGGTGGAGGCGCCGGGCCTCCTGGTCCTGCGTCAGCCCCGCCACGGCGCGGGATATTATACCTTCCACTGTCGTCACCTCTGTGAGAACAGGTTCTTGTGAGTATTGTGCACTATATTTGAACGAGGGAAAATGTAGCATGAGGTTTATCTATACTAATATTATAAAGAGGTAAAATTTGTAAGTTTGTATGTAGGGGGTAATCTTTGGAACCGCTGGCCGGATTGCCAAAATTCACTGATAGATAGCTACAATGTTCCTGAGTGCTATAGGATATAAATCATCACGCTACAATCAAATGGAGCCGAGCAGCGAGTGAAAACGCGCGGGAGTAGCTAGTCTGTTCTATAGAGAATGCGCTAGAAGAATTAATATTAATGACAATTATTGCTTTAGTCTACATTAGCGACATCTAGGGAGCAAAATTTTTCTTTGTATATCTATGTATGCTTAAATCTTTAAAACTACGCAAAGGATTTTGATTCGGTTTTTTACTGGACAGAGTGGTTGAAGAGCAAGGTTTATATGAATAACTAGCTATTGCCCGCAACTCCATTCGCGTAGAATAGTGACTTCGTGCAGATTATTTGTATAAAAACTATCCTATGTCCTTTCTTGAGTTCCAAACTATGTCTGTAACAAATTTCACAGAAATCGGTTCAGTAGTTTAGGCGTGAAGAAAATACAGACAGACAGACAGAGTTACTTTCGCATTTATTATATTAATATAAAAGTATAGATAACATCCATTAAATAGTGGAGACCCCAGCAGGGGCGGGTCGCTACTACCATACGTACCCCCCTTCTGGCTCTGCGCAGGTATCTCGAAGTCGAGCGAGGGTATCCGCACGCTGGTGTAGTCACTCTTGACGACCTGTCGGTTGAGGTCGTGGGCGCCCTCGACGCGGAGCGCCCAGCGCACGCCGCGCTCCGCCACGGAGCCCCCGGGCTGCAGCTCGTTGTTCTGGTACCCGCAGTGCTCGCAGCTGAACGACATCACCACCACGTTCTTGTAGTACGGGATGCGGGTCAGGAGCAGGCGCGTCATACCCTGAAGGTAGAGATACCGTGGTTTTATTACATAACATGCTTGGTGCAGTGCAGGCTAGTAGTACTAATGTGTGGTGGAAAGGAACTGACAGACCTCAGCATTGATTTGTAACCAAAGATTACATTGACATAAGCAAAAACAGAGATAGATTTGAAGTGTGGAAGAGCCATTTTTTGGCACAAATAGGTCAGCTTGTCAAAAAAGTCAAAAATCTTTCAGTTCAATTAGACAACACTACAACAAGCACTTTTGAACATTGAACAAAACTTCGAAGATGTGTGTGTCAGTGTCAGTCTGTCGGTCTGTCCTCTTAGTGAAGTTATTTGCTCGTTCCAAAGTGAAGATTCCTATGGAGAAAAACGAGCAAGGCTCATTCGCTGGTGTATGAATTAGAACAATTTTAAGCTTTAAAATGGATGTCGACTAGTTATGTAATTTTAATTTATTCATACAAAAAAGGGAATGTGATGGTTCCGTCTGTTTATTCAGTCAGATCTGATTCTAATAATAATTAAAAACCTATGTACTTAAATATGCATACTAGTTAACAGTATACTGTAAAGAATGATTAATATTTATTTATTATCATGTTATAAAATACGAAAATATTCTTTATTGATATTAAGTTGTGACTTTTTTGTTCATTTTATTTGTGCATTTGGAACGAGCACCTAGCTTCACTGACAAACAGACTGACAGACTACTATACTATTTTGACGTTTCAAAAGTATCTGTTTATGGTTTAGATGGAATATATGATTTTGACTTTGCATGTACTGGTTAGTATAGTATCAAGTTTGCAAAAAGACATTCCTGTAGAAACCTCAGTCTATCAATGAATAATAATTAGAATACATAAATAAATGAATAAATAATTATGTACTTATGTTTCTTACTTATAAACAAAACATTTTTTTTTATAAACTTTTACTAACTAATGAACTACTTTTACTTAACTATTGAATCCAATTAGGATGTCTAACACAAAGAAAAATACTTATTAGATTACTGTACACTTTAATAATACACTTTTAAACTCATTAGCAAAATTGACTGAATTGACCAGCTCCCAATATCGTCAATTAAAAGATATTCTTAACAGAAAACATGAATGAAAAGGTTATTTAAATATGTAAATAGAGGCAAAGCACAAATATACAGCCTCTTTGATGAAAACCTTTGTCATAATATGCTCATACTGTCTGCACACAGCTGCTGCAGTAGACTGCACTCGTGTCAACGACCCCATAAGTTCCCATTACCCACAGCATCGATCAGTCGGCGCCGCGCCGGCTGGCAGCCAGCCACCATTTAGCGAGGTACTTAAGTTACTGCTACCAGATCTCACATAATAATAACAAAATCACATTTAAAGAGTTCTAACGTAACCCCCCACAACATTACAAGCACGTAAAGTTTCTAGAAACATTGTTTACGTACGTTTTCGTGGCAGTTCATGCAGAGAGACTCTATCTCCGTGACCTCGGGCTCCTCGTCCGGCTCGCCGCCGAAGGAGCGGAACACGGGCTTTGGCGCCTCGCTACTCATTCTAGTCAATACGCGACGAAAACTGGGAATAAATTGAAATTATAACTTCGCACTAAGTCGCATTTACAAGCAAGCAAAGCACGTTTATTTGACACTGACAGGTAACAGATGACAAAAGTTGAGTTGACAGTTTAGCTATATACATAGTATATTTTTTTTTTGAGTTTATGGATACAAGTTCTTTTAGCCAATATACATTGTACCCCGTAAGCATCAATAGATGATAAATATAAATGTATGCGGATAAAATAAAATTCAACATAAAAATTATCCCACAACATAAAATATTAAATTATTTATTATTTGTATATATCTACTAAAGTAATTTATTAATTTGAAACATTTTTTAACAACTTTGCTTCACAACAACTGCAACTTCATAACTCTTGAAAGCGCGGCAATTTTGAATAGATAAATCTTGGTGTGTTTTGATAGCGATATAAATAAGCACACAAATAACTTGCGACGCAGAGTCGAAGATATTAATATATATCGACTCAACTGTGTCATTCGTAATTCGATTTGATCATTTGATACCATTCCTTCCCTACTACATAATTTATTATTGTATCAGCTGTTGTTTTGGCAACAATTTTTTGTAAGTAGATAAACATATTTTATGCAAAAACCGAATATAACACTTTTACTTTATATGCCAAAACTATCGGAGGTAAATAAAGAGTTACCGGCAAGTGATCTAGTGTAGGCATTGTAATTAAGTGTGTAGTTAGTTTGTAGGCCACTCGATAAGTCGAAGGTTGCCGGCGAGCCCCGCAGGGCGCCGGGCCGCACAGTGCACACACTGGCCAGATGATGTCACGACGAGATATAAACACAACCTTGGAATAGCAACGAAATCATTGCGTCATCGCTTTATTTTGGTCGATTTTGTCGCTTCTCTATAATCCAACCAATTTCAATATCAATCGACATAGTTAAACGTGTTGCCATTCGTAGCGCTTTTTATTTCTTCCGGGTAGTATGAAATATTCCCGCTCGAAGTAGAGTGCTATTTGAATGGAAATAGTATTTAGTGGAGAGAGAATCTCAGTGCGCGCTGCAAGTGTTAAGTAGGTAGTATTTAAAATTAATTTATTAAGTAAACGTGACGAACGCGTCGAGTGAGACTAGTCTGTATTTAGGAAAATAATTAATTTAAAAATCGTAAGTACACAATAATATTTAATCTGTATTTTATTTCCCGCTTTTTTATTTGTTTTGTTATCCGCTAGCGTAATGAAAAAATATAATATTTTTATCTTTAAAGATGTGTTTAAGTTGTTATTTATTTAATAAAGTGATGTCATTTATACAAATATGTTCAATATTCACTTGTAAGATTTTAACAAAACCTTACGTCAGCTCGTCAGTGCATAGTTAATATAAGGTTCAAAGGTGTTTAAGTATTTAATTTTATGTATTTCTATTCACTTAGTAACCAGCGTATTGTTTATTTATACAGCCTATTTATACATCTTTTTGATCATATTTACAAATGTTTAGTTCAGAAAATGTGTTTCAAAAAGTTTTTTTTTTTTCGTTCAATTCGTAGCTTTTAAATTGGTTTATGATTTCAGTGACATTACTAGGTTAGTTAAATAGATAGCCTACTACACATTTATCTTCGACGTACGGTACATAACATGGCTATAAACACGTATTTACACATTCAATTGCAAACTAGGACGATGATGCCTGAAATAAATATACAAAAGAATATTTTAACTGCGGTATCGAAGTTGATCGCAATATATTTACCTACCTACGACATTGGGAGCGAGAGTGTGTGAAGACCTCATTTCGAGTTCATGTACCTAGGTATTGTAAATTGTATCTATAGAGGACTATCTATTTTATTTGTATATAAACTATAGCACAAGAGAATAAAACTAAAACTAGCAGGGTGTTTATACCACGGGGAGTGCTCCGAGAAATTGTTCGGTTTGATCCACGCCGCGTCTTTCCGCCATCGATCCACACGACAACACTTTTATCCCCAACATATGTAGATACCTATAGGTAGTGGACAGATAACTGAGCTGTTTCCTGCTTCGAAAAGCTGTGGAAAGATCTCTCGGTAGCGGTATATCCGACCGAACTTTAAAACTGAAAAAAATGTGCTTCTGAATAAGCTGCCAACGCCCTTGTCTCTGGTCTTGCGAGTATCCTTAGGCGATGTGTTGTAGTTTACCATGAGGTGATCCGTCGGCTCGATAGCCTTCTATTCCATAAACAAAATCCTACATTTTTAATCTATACAACGACGCGATGCCATTCTAGCTATTTCAATCCGTACCTACAATATGGTAGTTTCCAACTAGTGAAATTCAATACTTTTATCGAAATGTCAAAAACGATACTTTTCTATGAAATTTGTATGAAAAACTGAGGTATCACAGTATTTTTGCGTCAAATAGCTTACTTATTTCTTAATAATTAGCTACAAAATATCTAAAACTTAGTGTATCGATCGATCGATGAATAAAAGTATAGTTATTTTTTAATATTTTATTGTATTAAAACGTCGATTTAATTTATTTTTTACCTAGGAAACTTACTGTCCTACAAATATTACAAACGCTTTAGTCTGTAAGTACGGATGTAATATGTATATGTTTGATGTAAGTATGTTGTTGTATGTTTATTGAATGTAATTTGGCACAGAGATCGATTATAGTCTGGAATAACACGTGGGCTATTTTTTATTCCAATAATATAGACGAAGTCGATAGTAAAAGCTAGTATATTATGGAACCATGCAACAGAGTAACTACAACTGTGTTGCCGGCCTCTTGTGTGTCATTAGAGATTTAAGGATAGGGGATTAGAGGATTGACGGGGATTGGGTCATCATATTTCTGCCTCTATCCCAAATTACTTGTAGTCTCTGAACATTCTTGTATTTTTCTCTATGTGATGTTATATGTAGAATTCCTATACTTAGGTATGACAATTTTATTAACACTACAACTAGGTAATTAATATCTACTTACATAAATCTAACTTTATTATTTACTAGCTACTCTCGCTCGGCTTTATTTGATCGTAGCGTGATGTTTTATAGCCTATAGCACACAGTAACATTGTAGCTGAATTCAGTGAAAGAATTTTGGCAATCCGGCCAGCGGTTCCAAAGATTACCCCCTACATACAAACTTACACATTTTACCTCTTTATAATAGAAATTAGTAGGTACAGATAAAATCAACATTTCATTTTTTAGATTTTTACTTAATGTCCCACATTGACTGAGACCTTCTTCTGTATTCTGTGTGTGTTTACAAACATACAATGTCACATACACATCACACATGGACCCGGAACGCGATCTTATAAACAGTTGTTCCGTGGAGGAACCCGCGACACGTTGCGAGGCGGCCGGTAGCCCCGGCACCGCGTCAAAATATTTATAATGACGTCACCGTAGATATCTTTCCGAATTTAATAAAAGTACAAATATACAAAGGTAGGCAAAATGACATGAGAAAGCTTCAGCGTATTAGCAGAGTCTTTATTTGGTGACAATACAATATGTAGCTACCTACACACTGCATATACAGACTTACATACGTATACAGGTAGATGTCAATCGGGATCAGAGAGCGAAGCGATACCTAACTGTACCAGGTAAATTTTCGCTATTATTTCATTCGAGTCTATGAGCTTTCGAACCTGTGAGGCAGTGGTAAAATAATTCGCAACAGCGTGTGTCGCAACAACGGCGTTCGAATCAACATTAGACACCCATACTGAGCATTTAGACTTGTGCATTGTGCACTAACATAACTTTAAGATATTGTTTTCATTATCATCGTCATCATCAGCCTATAAGTGTCCACTGCTGAGCAAAGACCTCTTCTCACACGGAAAAGCTTCGGCACGAATGGGTCGGCTCGACCGGAGTGATACCACGGCCTCACAGAAAACCGGCGTGAAGCAGCCACAGCGTTTCGCCGTGTGAGTAGGGTTACCACCCAATCCTTCCCCGCCCCCAATCCCTCCTCAATCCCTAAATCTCCAAATCCCTAATCCCTAAAAGGTCGGCAACGCATTCATAACTCCTCCGTTGGCCATGGGCGGCGTGATTGGTTACCATCAGGTAATACATATGCTCGTTTGCCGATCTAACACATAAAAAAAAAACAGCCTATAAGTGTCCACTGCTGAGCAAAGGCACAAGGCCTCTTCTCACACGGATACGGTGAATTAACCACTACGCTCGCTCAAGACGGAATGGCGAATTCAAACTTATGATTATTAATTCACGATGTTTACCTTCACCGTATGTCAGCGTGGTGTTTAAATAATCATAGAGAGGGCATGATAACTCGGAAAAAGTCACCCAGGTCTCGAATCCTCACGAATGAAAAGCGTGCGCCCTAACCTCCGAGCTACCATTGCTTTAGATAAAGCACGGCCAACGTATCTTGGCGAGTCTGAAGTTAGCCGATTGTCTGCGTCCATTGCGCAGGCAGTGGATCTTTTAGGAACAAAATATTTTTTAACAAAAAAAAACCGACTTCAATTCTTTGTTAAAAGTAATACATATTTTCATTTAGTTAAATAGAAAATAATATTTACTAACTATTTTATAATCTTCAAGTCGGTGCCAAGTAAAGCTCTTGCTAGTTTGACGATTAGTAGGTCCGATCAATATATTTTTCTAATACTATTGTTGTTTGTTATGTAGCATTTACTTGTCAAGTAGATCCCTCGAATGTCTTCCGGCTCCATCATCAGGTCGAGTTCGGACATCGGCAACTTGTAGCATTGTCAAAAGCCTACTAAATAGCACCACTCGACCCTACAATTATTGAAAATTACCCTCGATTTCTCTGGTCATCCATCATCAGATCCTGATTTCCTTATCATGGGACCATTCTGGGACTATCTCCTTTCCAACAAAAGAAGAATTATCAAAATCGGTTCATAAATAACGGAGATATCGGCGAACAAACATAAAAAAACATATACAATTGAGAACCATCGTCCTTTTTATTTAGAAGTCGGTTAAAAATTGTGTACTGCGCAGTTAATCGGCTAACTTCAGACTCGCCAAGATACGTTGGCGGTATTGTATAAGATATACTTACTTTTTATTAAAGAACTTTGACCTAC